CCAAATGAAAAGTTAACTCCCAAGGGATCTGGTCTAAAGAGCCAAAGAGAAATGGATAGGTTTTGAGCCACTTCTCATGAATCTCAAACAAGGACACCCTAGTACACAGAAATCCAAGAACAAAACTGGAACTGGAGATCAGAGAGTAAGCCGAGGAAGAGGGCCACCCCCAAATCACAAGGTACAATGCCAAAGGTGGGGAGCAGGGTCAGGAGAGTCTCACCTCTTCTCTGAGTTCCTTCATCCTTTCCTCAAAATCATAGTCCTTCTGCTTCTCTTCCATCTTCTTCTTGTTGACCTCAAAACGTTTCTTTACCTGATCCAGAGTGGAGCGTTCCACACGCATAGACATACCCAAGTTTCGCTGATCTGGGTGAGGTGAACAGTGAAGGCAACCATAACTTTAACAGTCTCAGCCCCTCAAAAAGTTTGGCCCTTGCTTTTTTTTTTTTTTTCTTTTTTAACCTTTTCATAATAAAATACACAACAAAAATAACTATGGTTAAAAGCAGCTCTGGGTCTCACCTGCTCTCAGAAGTGGCAGCCCCAGATAATTAGCAGATAGCTTTCAACTGCATTTACTAACCAAATTATCAACCAGGTCAGCTAGCCTCCTCCTCTGGCCTCTGTGCTTCTGCACAGGAGTCACATACTCAGCAATACACATTTATAAATAAACAGCCACACACACCAAGAAAACCACCCTACCACACTTCCCCTCGACCAGTCCCAGCTCCAGTCCTGAACTACCTCCATGTCTTACGTTTCTTTCCATTAATGTGATCCAGGAAGTTGATGGAGTCTTTCACCACGCAGTCACAGACATTGCAGTAGTAGCTGACAAACGGGAAGAAAGAGCACATGGGTCAATCTGGTTTTTAAGGATCTTACTGTTTTCAGGGAAGAAACTCAAATTTTGGGGAAACTTATATGAAATCTGTTTCATAATGGAGACATTAACTGGTCTGAGACCAAGCTGGCCTCAGACATGCAGAGTTTGTCCTGCCCCTGCTAGAATTACAGATGTGTATTTTCATAAAGCCTTGGAAGATAGTCTCCACCCACCCTCCAAGGCAGCCTGACTCTCGCTGTCTTCCCTTCCTTTGTAGCTTCCTCCCAATCTGTGCCAAAATGTTCTGTGTGATAGTCAGAACATGCAAAAGCAGTGGTTTATCACTTCCAAGATTAGATTATCATACAGTGGCTTCTGCATTTGTGAGGATGACCTGGTTTGAGGAAATTCATCTCTTTATGTTTTATTGTGAACAACCTTATAAATAGGCCCACAGGGTGAACTTCAGCCTCCAAACCATAGGCATCTGAGAGCTTGGAAGAAGATCTTCTAACTTTATTTAAGCTCCAGTGAGTGCAAGCAAACCTAGTCAATTCCATGACTGCAGCTTCATTGGAGACCCTGATCCAGAACCTCCAAGGAAACTAACTACCCCTCAATTCTGTGCCCATGAAACTATGAGCAACTATTATTATTTTATGATCCTAGAGGTTTAACTTACTAATTTATACAGCAAAGGCATCAAAACAGTGGGCTTACTAAATAATCTGCAGAAATGTGGCTAACTGCTATATATCTATATGAGTCTCCGGATAAACTCTAATTGGACAGAATTGAAGGAATGGTGGCAAAGGGGTGACCAGCTCTGTGGAACTCCTCTACAGGTCACAGAACTGGTATATAGTAACTACAGCTAACAGCTCCACCTAAAACACCCCAGTGCCTTCACAACAGACCATATAACCCCTTTGAGGGTACTACTGATGAGAAGCAGCCCACAGAACAAACTCCCCTGGAAATAGGGCTGAGTTGACTTCAAACTTCAGGAGGGGGCAAAGAAAAACAAAGAATCGAGTTATGGTCAATAAGGTCGCCATCCCTGATCTGAGACTTTTCTCAACACTTCCTAAAACCAATATGAATAGTTTATTAGACCAGCCTTGGTATTAGAGAAGGACAAAAAGCTACTCACCCTCCCATTTCAGACTGTGGGGTCGTCTTGGTAATGACGATCGTCTTCCCAAGCTTGGACTCCAAGTCCACCTTGTAATCCCTGTGCCGAAGAAGCTCCCGCTTGACAGGCTGCACTGGTTTTCCTGAAACAGAACGACAAAGTGGGTCCCTTCAGTATTTACTAGAATCTCTGTGTGTGTGTGTGTGTATGTTTTAAGACAGGGTTTCTCTGTGTAGCCCTTGCTATACTGAACTCACTTTGTCGACCAGGCTGGCCTCAAACTCAGCGATCCACCTGCCCCTGCTTCCTGAGTACAGGGATTAACAGTGAGTACTGCAGTGCCTTGGCCAAAAAGGAAAAGAAATACATGAACCCCAAAATGAAGATGACTACTCTTGTTGTTTTGTTTTGTTTTTTGATTCCTCAACAAAGGGACACAATAGATACTTTATACAGCAGTTAAAAGAGGCCAGAAAAAACTCTAATTGGTCTGGAACTCACTATGTGGACCAAGCTGGCCTCGGATTTGATGGTAAGATTTGATGGTAATCCCAACTCTCAAGAGCTTTTCTCCACTTTAAAGCTAGCACACTTAACAGAGCTTCCTAGTCTAGCTGAACTGAGGAGTTCTGAATTTTTGCTTGAAGTAAACCTCTGAGAAGAGGGGAACTCACACTCCATAACATAATGGCCAATGTTCTCGTGCGTGTGACGGCTAACACTGATTGTCAACTTGACTACATCTGGAGTCACCTAAACCCAAGCAGCTGAGCACACCTGTTTGCAGTTTATTTTTATTTTTGTTTGGAGGGGGGATGAGCTGGATCATTTAAGATGGGAAAACCCAGCTGGGCGGAGGTGGTGCACGCCTTTAATCCCAGCACTCGGGAGGCAGAGGCAGGCAGATCTCTGTGAGTTCGAGGCCAGCCTGGTCTACAAGAGCTAGTTCCAGGACAGGCTCCAAAGCTACAGAGAAACCCTGTCTCGAAAAAAAAAGACAAAACAAAAAAGATGGGAAAACCTACCCTGAATATGGGCCACACCAGGGGGCAGCTCATGTAAAAGGAGAGGGGAAAGCTTTGGGCTTTTTTCGCCTGCTTGTCGTCACATGCTAACTGCAAGCTATCTATCCTGTTGCAGGGGCATTCCTTCTCTAGCCATTGTATCAACTCTACCATCCCCGTAGCCCTTCGTGAAGCGAGCACCCACCATCCTTCTTTTCTCTCTCTTCTGTGAGTCTCTTCTCCGCAAGCTTCTCATATTCATCTTTGTCCCACTTTCGGCGAAAGTCCAAGTTTTTTGTCTGTAGGGGGAAAAAGTGCTCAAGATCCGTCGTTGTGCCTGCTCCCCTGAAGAAACTAAGGGAACCGCCTAACTGCCACCAAGGCGGCCCCAGGACCTTTCAAAAGAGAAGTCTCTCTGGAACGCCCGGGGGTCTGGGGCACTCGGGACCCCAACCCGAGAGACTTCCGAGATTCCACGGTCCCTGCGCCAAGGCCTTACGGGGAAGTCCTCGAACCTGGACCCTGAGATCGCGAAGAGGTGTCAGGAAAACAGCCAAGTCTCACAGCTTGTCTCTACTTAGCTCCGAAAAACCACCCCGGAACCCTCAAACCTCCTCACACCAACACCTACCCCGCTGCCCGACGCCATCTTCACAGCGAAGTGAATGGAAAGCCGTAAAATGCCGTAAAGCGCGCCCGGGAGCCATAAGGCAAGATCATGCTCCAATAAGATTCGAGCCTCGCGTTCTAACTGCGTTAAGGACTGGAGCGATTCTAAGGCTATCCTGTTAGCCCCGCCCTCTGTTCCAAGGAGACGACGCAGGCGCAAAAGGAGCGTGAAGCAACACGGAAGTAAGGGCACTGGCCAACGTTTTTTCTCTCCGACTTTCAAAACAAGCCCTGGAAGAGTAATAGCTCAGCTCTTTCTTGTATTTTACAAAGACTCAGAGGTTCGGAAACAGTACCCCATGAGTGAATCAACTTTACCTGCATCTCAGGTTTTTTTTTTTTTTTAAGACAGGTTCTCAGGTAGCTCAGACTGGACTCTGTAGTGGTGGCTAGTCTTGAACTTCTGATTTTCCTGCCTCCACTTCCGAAGTACTGGGTTTACAGGCATGAGCCACCATGTCCCGTTCATGTGGTGCTGGAGCTTGAACCCAGGGCTTCGTTCATGCGATCAGGCATTCTACCAATTGGACTCTGCCTAGTAAACCTTATTTTTAAAGCTAACACACTATCAGTGGTCTGGATGTCCTATTCACCAGCATGTACTATGAGTGTGGCTCTAAATTATGTACAAAAGACAAGCACTTTTACATTTGAGTTCTTTTCCCCTGAAACAAAGATACTATTCTTTGGTTAAACTTATTTCCATGTCTGGAGAACATTTAAACTCATTCAATTTATGAAGTACAATTTAATCTTGACACTTTCACCAGCCAGCACCCCCAGAATAAAGCACTCAGCACTCTTGACAAGTTTGTAGTGCTTGAGACAGTCTACATACCCCGGGCTATGATGCTGAGAGGATGGTTTTAATCTCCTCAACCTCCTGCCTCCACTTTCCAAGCGCTAGGGTTATAGGCATAGTAGTTTTAAAACAAGATCTATTGGGCCCTGGCTAATCTGAAACTCTCTTTGTATTTTCCTCAGTGTACTCTGCCCATCTGGGTTCCCAATAAAGAAAACCTCCCTCTTTGAGGCTACTTTCCCTCTTCATCTATCCAGCCTCTTGTCTGAACATCCTCCCCTTTTCTGCGTTCTGCTTGTTTTAATCTTTACTCTTGTTTAGTTAACCTCAAACTCAAGAGATTCTGTTGCCTCTGCCCCACCACTCCACTGCTGGGATTAAACATGTGCACATTGGGCAGAAGTTATTGCTGTCGATGTTGTTTTGAAAAGGGGTCTCATGTAAACCCAAGGCTGAATTTTTATCTATTTATTCATATTTTTTGGGTTTTTTTTTTTTTTTTTGAGACAGGGTTTCTCTGTGTTGCTCTGAAGCCTGTCCTGGAACTAGCTCTTGTAGACCAGGCTGGCCTCAAACTCACAGAGATCCGCCTGCCTCTGCCCCCCGAGAGCTGGGATTAAAGATGTGCGCCACCACTACCACCGCCTGGCCCCAAAGCCAACTTTGAGCTTCTCATCCTCCTGCTTTCACCTCCAAAGGGAATGGTGTCCAAAATCTCCAAAGATCAGATCAGATCAGATCGCTAACTTATCATCCATTAAACTCAATGTCCAAAATAATTAAAGAGCCCCACCCTTCTACTGTTAACTGGAAGAAGCAGATGCACTCCTGGTCCTTGAGACATCATCTCTGTTCAATGTCCTTTCTTACTGTCTTTTTAATACTGCACAGACAGAATATAGTCTAATGTAGACAATTTCTCCAAAATCTTGTTCTCAGATACAACACAGTAAGTGAAGTACACATTTCGCTTCTCATTTCAGTGGTCCAGAGTCTTGGCCTAAGGCAACTCTTCCAGAGCCTCGTTCACAGTAACCATCTTAACATCTCTTGACAGAATTCAAAGGCACTTCAGCTCTGCCTTTGCAGCTGGAGTGTGCTTCTTCTGCATGCCAGCCATGTTCACTCAAGCAGAGTAGCCGCTGATTCATGAGTCCTCAGGGCCACTTCTGTATCCAGGACAGATGGAGGCATAAGGCAACTGTACAGCAGCCATGCTGGCCAGCTGTTGTAAAGTCCACCAGAGCTCAGTCCTAGATGAAAACTTTTCTTCTAAGGGCAGCAGACAGAAATCAGGCAACAATCAAGACTCAGACAGTCGCTTTTGAATTTCAGCCACAAGACTTTCTCGATTAATGGTCACCTAAAACATAAGAGAATCCTTGTGTGATAAAACAGAAAATGATACTTAGCCAGTTTTTCCAAATTTACTTCATTCTGAATTCTCTCTTTTATCTGCATGTATGCCTTCTCGCCCGAAGAGGGCACCAGATCTCATTATTATGGTTGTGAGCCACCATGTGGTTACTGGGAATTGAGCTCAAAACCTCTGAAGAGCAGCCAGCAGCCAATGCTCTTAGACTCTAAGCTATCTCTCCAGCCCCCTGAATCTATTCTCACTATTTACACCTGGGACCTATATTATGGAAGGAGAGAAGTGACTCCTGCAAGGTGAAATACACATATATGCATGAGATATATGTGCACAAATACATACACACATACACACACACACACACACACACACACACACACACACATACACGTAATTTAAAAGAAAAAGTTTTAAATTTATTTTCTCAGAGACCGCATCTCTGAAAAGAATCTGGAATCAGTTGGGTGATGGTGGCATACAACTTTAGTCCCAGGAGGCAGGGGCAACTAGATCTCCAAGTTCAAGACCAGCCTGGTTGGTCTACAGAGCAAGTTCCAGGACAGTTAGAGCTACATAGAGAAACCCTGTCTAAAAAAAAAAAGGAATCTGGGATCTAGGCATGACAATATATGCCTGTAGCCATAGCACTTGAGAGGTTGTAGCACGAAGATCAAGAGTTCAAGGAGAGCCTGGGTGTCACAGTCCCAGACCATTCTGAGCTAAAGAGTGCAACCTGTCTTTAAAAGGGTGGGGTGGGGTGCAGCATTTGGAACTCAGTATTTCCGCAAGGTCCCACTCACTTCTTCTCTGCTGGCCACTGAACGGAGCTTGAGGACACCTTCCTTCTGTTCTTGCTCACCAATGATGACCATCAGAGGAATACCTGTTTTCTCACAATAATGCAGCTGGGTTAATAGTTTAGGGTTGTTTTTATAGAGTATCTCTGCCTGAAAAGGATAAAAAGTAAGTAGGAGAGTTGACGTGGTTATAGTATGTAAGTGCCCAAGAACATACATTTCCAAGGGAGCCAGAAATAAGTAGCTAGCCCTCTAGTGGTAAGCTAAAAATGTCCTGAGTACCACCGCAGGCATGAAATGAGCCATGTTTGGTGTCCACATACACCCAGATCACTCTGATACCAGCGCTACCAAACCTTGATTCCAGCATCCCAAAGCTCTGCGATTAGCTTCAACCGTTCTCGAAGAAAGTTCTTCTGGGGTGTGGCCACAAACACTTGGGTCTCTGTGGTTCGAACCTTCTTACCAGAAGCCTAATAAAACAGAGAGAAGAAACTAAAACTACAGCCTAGGGTAGCTCTCACAACTGTAATCCCAGTACTCAGGTGTCTAGGGCAGGAAGACCCTAAGATCAAGGCCCACTTAGGCTCAGAAAGAAATCCTCTTTCAGATAGTTCTTTTAAGGGGGTTGGGAGGAGTGCAGAGGGAGGAAAGGCTTGGAGAAATGGCTCAGAAGTTAGAGTACTTGTTCTTTCAAAAGATCCAAGTTCAGTCCTCCACATTGACATGGTGGCTCACCCATAGCTCTGACCACCCACTTCTGACCTCCATTGGCACCAAGCATGCACACACCTTCAGGCTAAACACTCATGCACATAAAAAGATAGAATCAATCTTTTAAAAAAGAACGATAGATATTTCCTTTGTACTATCAATTCCAAGAAGCAAAAAGAAAAAAAAAAGGTCCAAAATGCACCTCCAGAAACTAGTTCTTAGCTTTCAAGGTCACTTCAACTCTATCTAGGACCTACCTTCATCTTCTGCTCCATAAGGAAGAAGATTCTCTCTACTCCAATGCTCAACCCCACACAGGGCACGTTATGGCCCTTGGGATCAAACTGGGCTACCAGGCCATCATAGCGTCCACCAGCAGCCACACTGCCCACATTCAGAGCCTCCGTTGCAGCCTGACCCAGAGACGATAGTAGTACTGCTTCATAGATCACTCCTGTATAATAGTCTAGGCCCCGGGCCAGACTTAAGTCAAAGGAGATCTGTAAGAGAAAAGCTACAGTCAGTCCCAGATCAGACTCTGAGAACCTAGGAGCTCAACAGAAGGTCAATCCCAGCTCTTCCTACCTTTTCGGCAATTCCAAATAGAGTCAGGTATTCAAAGAGCAGCTTCAGGTCCGCCAAGCCCTGCAGGGCCAGCTGGCTTTGGGACAGATTGGGATCCTTGGACATTTCCTCTACCAGGGATGTCCCCCCTGGGAAGAAAAGTCAGGTAAAGTCTGTGTTGTTTGCCCAAGTGTGTTTGATCCAAATTTACCTAGGTGTTTGTTGTTGCTGTTTCAGTCTGAGTTTTTGTTTGTTTGGTTTTGGATAGAGTCTCTCTACATAGCCCAGGCTATCCTAGAATTCATTATGTACACCAGGTTGGCCTCAAACTCATGGAGATCCACCTACCCCTGCCTCCCAAGGGCTGGGACTAAAAACATGTGCCACCACAGCCAGCTTGAATTTATCTGCTCTAACCCACCTTCCTCATTTTCTTTAAAAGAACAAACAAACAAAAAAAAAAAACCCACATTCTTAGTGTCAAGACCTTCTTCTCTGCTTCTGCCTTTGCCAAGAAGACATAAAGCAGTTTCAATACATAAAAGGGAAACTTGATCCAGATCAGACTCTGGAGCTGGGCACATGTCACCCTCAGCCGGTTGACCATGGCTCTGAAAGCACTAGTTCTTACCGTGACATTGGGCATACTCCCCAATCCGATCGGCCACCTCAGGAGCTAGGCCTTTCTTGACCACCATCTCATGTCTCACATCTTCCCAAGACATCTGCATTGAGATAAACATTAGCTCAACCCAAGCTCCTCTTCACCTAACTGACGCAGGACATCTTGTTTTCATTTGGCATACATATCTTGAGGAATTCACAGTAAATTCAGCAAAATCAGAGGCAATTTAAGAAACCCAGCCACAATCCCCACTGTATAGCATAACTCAGACTTAGTTTAAAAATGACTCCTTAAGCCGGGCGATGGTGGCGCACGCCTTTAATCCCAGCACTCGGGAGGCAGAGGCAGGCGGATCTCTGTGAGTTCGAGACCAGCCTGGTCTACACAGCTAGTTCCAGGACAGGCTCCAAAGCCACAGAGAAACCCTGTCTCGAAAAACCAAAAAAAAAAAAAAAAAAAAATGACTCCTTAATCTCCCCAACCCCCAAACAGCCACTTTCAGCCATGGTCTCCTTATTCTTCCCTAATGGCATGGATTAGCAGGCAGGGCAGAAACCCAGACAGGGTCTGTTTAAAGCATGTTTTCTCTGTTACCTTGTCTAGTTTGTCCATGGAGGAGCAGATGGTACGGAACTTGCTCTCAGGAACACCACAGACAGCAAACATCCCATCTACAACCCGCCGGTCATTTACCTGTGAACTCAACAGAATTAACCCAAGTGTCTTTGGGTTAATGGGCATCTCTAAAACGCTTGACTCTTAAAGACAATTTCACAGGCCCAATCCAAACTTTTCCTTCATGATGTCCAGCAGGCTGGCCTCACCTTAATGAGAAAGTCCCCCAGCTGCAATCCACTTAGGATTTCACACATGATCTTCAGACATTCTGCATCAGGGATCATAGGGTCGAACTCACCGGCAATGTCAAAATCCTACAAGAAAAAAAGAGGCAGAAAGTCAGGCATAGCGGCACACGCCTTTAATGGCAGCACTTGGAAGGCAGAGGCAGATGGATCTTTCAGGGAGTTCAAGGCAGCCTGGTCAGTTCCAGGACAGTCAAAGATATATAGATGTCTCAAATATCTATCTCAACAAAACCAAAACCCAAAAACAAACCAAGCAAACCAAACAGAAGAAAAACAAACCTCCCACTGATCAGCTAATCCCCAACTTAACCATCACTAAACTACGAAGCCCCAGCCGGGTCCCTTACACATTGGCAGAACTCCCGGTAGCGGCCCTGGACTATGGCTGGGCTCTCTCGCCGCCACACCTTTCCAACTTGATATCGCTTCATCTTCTTCAGTTTATTCATGGCCAGATAGCGAGCAAAGGGGACCTTATGTAAGCAGGTTGAGGAAGAAAGACACTATGTTCCACATTTAGGCCCGCCATTCAGACAGGAGGGAGAACTGGGTTCCTAGAAACCATCCTTGTCTTCAGGCTGGTTTCCACTGTCTCCGAAACCTAGCAGAGTTGGTGTTGATGAAGGCATTTCACTTATGAAACTGAAAGGTGACAAGAAAAAAAGAGGCAGGGACAGCAATGACCTCAGACGCTTAGGTCCGGTCCATTTCCTCCCATCCAGACCATTACCCAACTAACTAAAAAGACCTCAAGCTTCAGAACTGAATTTGCCTACAATCTAAAACCCTTTTTCTAAAAGCTCAGCCCAAGACCACATGCACATTTCCAGGATTCTGTTTAGAGCGGTGCTTCTCAACCTTCCTCACGCTGCGACCATGTAATACAGTTCCTTGTGTTGTGGTGACCCCTCAACCATAAAAGTTATTTCACTGTTACTTCATAACCATAGTTATTTTGCTACTCTTATGAATCATAATGTAAATATCAGATATATGACCCCTGTGGGGTTGCAACCCATAGGTTGAGAAGCTCTGGCGTAGCACATGCAAGATGGTGCAGTAGGGGAAGGGGTATGCTGCACAAATCTGGCACCCTAAGTTCTGTCCCCAGAACTCCACAAAGCTGTCCTGTGATCTGCACATGCGTGTCCACACACACACACTAATTGATTTTCTTTCACGTGCATGTTTATAAATAGCACTCCAGTGAAAGAATTTAGAATCTCTGGAGCCAGGGTCAATAATCTGTGTTTCTGCAAACTTCCTGGGAAGATTCTCCATATACACACAAGTTAAATAACGGGGCCTTCAGGTTAGGCTCTGATGGCAGAATTGCCTCCTAGAAGAAACTGGAAATGAAAAGTCAAAATTCCTCTACTCCCTTCTGCCAAGGAGCCCTCTGGATTTGGGACGGGTCAGGTCCAGCATGTGGAAGGATACGGTAAGGTCATAGCGAAGAGACAACAACTCTCCACCTTGATCCTTCAAATCGTACATGAGGCCGAAGTTGTCTTCATACTTCTCGGTGAGCATTTCCTGCGAGTGTCAGACAGAAGAAACCACAGTTCCGTGACTGACTACAGAACACAGATAAGAAGCCCTGCGGGCAACTGAGGGCAGGTAAACAATGGGGTTCCCGGCTCCCTTCTGTCCTTACTGTGAGCTCGAATGCTGGTGTATCCAACCCCTTTGCCCCATGACGTTTAAAGCAGCTGATAATCTCATCAAGAATTTTCTCCCTCAAAACCATCTGTTGAGGGTTTAAATCCCTGGTGCCCTGGAAAACAAAAGCAGTCAAAGCAAAAAATCTAGACCATTTAAGACTAAAGGTTAAATTATACCCACAATCTAAGGTTTGAAACTAACTTGAGCCCCATCTAGAATTTCAAGAATAAAACAACCCACCGACCCCCTGAAAGGATCTAGGTTAAAAGGGAGAGGTAAGGAGAGCTGGCACGCCCTTCGTGACACAGATAGGCAGGGTGGGTAAAGGATGTTGTTACCTTTGGAACCTTGATGATAAAATTTGGTTTCTCTTGATGTGGTTTCAGTTGGGATGTTAACACTGCCTCTGCAACCTGGAAGAAAAAGATGTGCCTTCTCTGGACACTGGCCATAGCTGTGACCTCTCTGACCCTGTGGACCATCAACCTGAGAAGACCCTTGATCCCATACAAAAAGTTTCCTGAACACCACATTATCTACCCTCATCTCCTTCCACCCTCAATAATCCACGTAGAATTTCCAGTTATACCTGCAATACATAGTTCGACCGATCTTTATTACACAAACTTCTTCACTGTTTGGAGTTTTTAAATGTCTGAAAAAGCTGAAGCACCTGAGAATAATAAAAACACAGAACCCCCAGCTGCCACCACTAAATGTCTACAAGTAGGAATTAGAACTCAGTTCTTAACTGGACACGGTGGCACACACATGTAATCCCAGCACTTGGGAGACAGAAGCAGGAGGACCTCTGTGAGTCTGAGGCCAACCTGGTCTACAGAGTGAGTTCCAGGACAGCTGGAGTTACACAGTGAGACCCTGTCTCAAACGAATAAACAAAAAGAACTCCAATTCTCAGATCTTACTCAAATAGCAAAAAAAGGTGGTGCATGCCTTTAATCCCAGCAGTGGGAGGCAGACAGGCGGATCAGTATGAGTTTAAATCAACCTGGTCTACACAGTGAGCACCAGAACAGCCAAGAGTGCAGAGTGAGACCCTGTCTCACAAACAAACAGACCTGGAATCAGGGTAAATGGAACATAAAGACAGAACCAACCCCCAAAAAAGAACAAACCTGGGCCAAGGAGATGGCTCAGTGGGAAGCCATCAAACCTGACCACCTGAGTTGGATCCCTGGGACCCACTCACATGCTGAAGGAGAAAACCAATTCCCACAAGTTGTTCTCCGATATACTTACACTCACAATAAAACCTATGGACTGATAGGAAGAAATTTCCTGGTTGGGGGGAAAAAAATCCCAGACTAGTAAAATGCTGTGACTTAAAAAATGAATAAAAGATCTGAGCCCTGTTGAGCATGACGGTACAAAGCACCTGCCTTTGGAGAGAGGTAACAACCGCTGACCGTGCTAGTGAAATGGCTCATGGGTAATAGGGCTCGCCACTTATCGAGACCATCTAAGTTCAGTCCCCAGACCCCTCAGGTAAAGACAAGAACAGAATGAGCCATGGCACACCAACACCCCATATACATTAATAGATAAATGAACTTTAAAAAAAAAAAGTAATCAGACTTGAAGCCCCCAAGGCCGTATTCCCTTATGGTAACCTCCATACTTTGGAAAGTCCCCATACTTTGGAAAGTCCCCAAAGAGAAGTCTAAATTCAAGTCCACAATCCCTAATTCTAATTCCAGAATCCAACTATCTTTAGAAATGTTTCTCTGAGATTCATTTTAAGGTAAATTCATTTGATGTGCATAAACTCAGTTCATTTATGGTTTGAATCTGGTTCAAATTCTAACATGCTGAGGAATTTCGGATGATTGAGAGTAAACCTCATTATAGTATTTAGTTGTTATGTGGCCCTATAAGTCATTTATCCCTCTGATATCCGCTTACTCAGCTGTAAAATAGAGATAAACCCTCAACATCTGAGATTGCTCCAATAATAAAATGACAAAAGCATCCGAAACTCTTAGTTCAGCGCAGGTACAAAGTGGCTAATCAATACAAACCAACTTCAGGTTTGGAGAGATGGTTCTTTTAGAAGACCTGAGTTCCATCAGCACGGGCTCTGTGATCCGACGCCCACTTGTGGGCACCAGGGGCGGACACATAAAAAAAAATAAACCTTTAAAAATTAAAACCCAATTTTAATAATACAACAGGCTGCGAGTCTATGCTTTCAGGCCAGGAGGCCCCGCCGGGAGTCGGCGGAGTCGACTCAGGGTGGCTCACCTGACTGTGACAGCCGACCGCCCGGGTGCACACAGCGCGGGGAGGTCGCAGGAGCTGGCGGAGCAGCGCCGCCCAGGCACCACACCGCAGGGGCCCCAGGTGGGACATCGTGCAGCAGGACGTCAGCTTCCCGGAGCAGGAGCCAAGGGTCTGGGAACGAGGCCAGCCCGACCTCAGAAAGGCGACAAGGAGTTGAAGAACCTAGAACGAGCCCCTGAAAGCACCCGAGGTCGGCGCTAGTCCGGGGTGGGACTAAACTCCGAGTATCTCACGCTCCCCGACCCGGAAGTGTTTTCGCTCTCGCCAGAGACGTTCTAGGCCACGAAAGCCGGTGACTCGATAGCCGGAAGTCATCCGAAGCTAGGCTAAGTCTACCCAGGCGGGTTAGGCAGCAGTCGGTTCCGGTGAGCGGCCAGGATGGCTGGTCGTGCTGCGCTGGAGGAGCTGGTGCGACTCCAGGGAGAGCATGTGCGGGGCCTCAAGCAGCAGAAAGCCTCCGCTGAGCAGGTGCGACTCAGATGGAAGGAGAGGGGCCCGGCAAACCAGAGGGACATAGAGGGTGGTCTGGCCGGAGGATACGCATGTGAATGAAGAGAGTAGGCTGGTAGAATGAAAGGGGCTGAGTGAGAAAGAAGGTAGCCAGGGTGGATCCCGAGAGAAGCGAGGGTAGGAGTATCGAGTGCATGGGAAGGGAGGGACAAATGGATAGTTCAGCGGTGTTTTTCTCTCCCAGATCGAGGAGGAGGTGGCGAAACTCCTAAAACTGAAGGCACAGCTGGGTCATGATGAAGGCAAACAGAAGTTTGTGCTCAAAACCCCGAAGGTAAGCTATTCCTGTGAGAGGCCTCAAAGGGAGGTCCTGATCAGTCTGAAGTACTGCAAAGGAGTAAGTAGTTGGTGTAGGCACCAGGCTGGATTGATCGCAACCTGAGTCATTCGGTGATGACAGAAACAGAGCTGCTCAGGGGAGTCAGCCTGCTAATTGCCAGTCCTTCCATTCATTACCTATTCCCCGAGTAAGACTAGTGTGCGGTATTGTACACTGAATATACCATACTGGATATGCCTGTCTTTGTGATGCTTATATCCCACTGAGACAGAGATTTAAGACAAATAATTCCACACAGGGATATGCAATTACAAAATATGACTGGTGATATGAAGAAAATTAGGGCTTGAGAGATGGTTCAGCAGATAAGAGTATGCAGAGAATCCAAGTTTGATGCCCTGCACCTATATCGGGTGGCTCACAGCTGTCTGTAACTCCAGCGCGCACTCTATCTCTGTCTCTCTCTCTCTCTCTCTCTCTCATGCACACACACACACACACACACACATACACACAATGTATAAAAATTATAAAGAAACTTTAAAAAAAAGAGAGAAACTTACAGAGATGTTCTGAGAAAAATAAGGGGGAGCTGGGGAATCTGAGAAGTCACACCAAGGGGGTGATATACTAATGGACCTCTCAAGTGGGTAGGAGATAGCCAGGGAAAGACTGTTAGGATGACAGGCTCAGTAGAGTATGGACACCCTGATGCAGAAAAGAACTTTGATACTTCCTAGGAACTAGAAGAAGACCTGTTCAAATAGAAACAAAGTCAGAGAAACTCAGGCTCGGGGCTTCAGTTCAGATGCTATTCTGTAAGTTCTGTAAACAGAACTCCACACCTTCATTGGGTTCCCTTGGCACTTGATACTTAGTTCCCATTGCACAGACTTTGAATTTTCACTTTGGGGTGTGTATACACGAGAGTATGGGTGCCTGCAGAGGCCAGGAGAGGGTGTCAGATTCCCTGGAGCTGGAGTTACAGGCAGTTGTGAGCCATGCTAATGTGCTCTAGAAGAGCATCAAGAGTGCTTACCTGCTGAGCCATCTCTCCTGCCCTGTGCAACAACTTCTGGTAGTTATTCATGAAGTTTATTTGCCAGAAGCTAAGACTGGGTGCCTGGAAACAAAATTATATTTAATGAATGTATTTTAAGTTGATTTCCAAAGAGAAGCCATCTGTTGTGGTGTACATCTTTAATCCCAGGACCCAGGAAGCAGAGACAGGCAGATCTTTGTGAGTTTTAGTGATATTAAGACAGATCATTAGGTTTAAGTGAAGAGGGACTAATCTACCACAGATTCCCTATTTTTTACTTTATTCAATGATCTTAATAGTTATTGGTCATCATTTCTTTGAGGTCTTATTTTATTGAGATAGGGTATCTCTACATAGCTCTGGTTGTGTGTGTGTGTATGTGTGTGTCTGTGTGTGAGGGAGCAGCTGGAGTTACAGCAGTTATAGGCTGCCCAACCTAGATGCTAGGAACCAAAGTTAGGACAGACTGGGGTACAAGTTCCAGGCCAGTGGGGATGACATAGTAAGATAGGAAAACCTTGTGCCCAAAAGGCAGAGGTAGGATAGAGTTGGATGGTAGGATTAATTCTCTTTAAGCCAGGTTCATCAAGCTGTGCCTTTCTGCATAGTCTTTTTTTTAATATATATATTTTTTATTTATTTAGTATACAATATTCTTTCTGCGTGTAACCCTGAAGGTCAGAAGAGGGCACCAGACCTCATCATAAATGGTTGTGAGCCACCATGTGGTTGCTGGGAATTGAACTCAGGACCTTTGGAAGAGCAGGCAATGCTCTTAACCGCTGAGCCATCTCTCCAGCCCCCTTTGCATAGTCTTTTAAAAACAAAACAAAACACCAAGTCTGGCTAGCCTCAGACTTGCTATATAGCAGAGGTTAGTTTTGAAATTCTGATCCTTAGGTCTCCACCTAACAGGTACTGGAATTACAGGCATGTACCACCACACCCATCCCACACAATTTTTTTTTTCAAAGGGTGAAGAGGCGTTTAAAATCTCAGTGAAATGGGGACTGGGAGATGGTGCAATATTAAGGGTGCTTATTGTTTTTCTAGATCTGAGTTAGGTCCTCAGCACCCACATATAGCAGCTGTTGTAACTCCAGCTGGCCTCCAAGGATGCCCTCACACATGGCATTACAGAAATAATGGTCAGTAATGTCTCAGACTGTTGAATGGGGTGGAAAATTCAGTAAAGCAGAAGCAGCAAGAGTAATCTTGTTGGTGTGACACAATAAAAAACCCAGGGTACCACCCGGGAATCTAATTAGGCCTGCAGACCAAGGTGGGGCAGTGCAAAGTGGAGAGCAGGCTAAATGTCGAATCAGTGATATTGCTGACTGAGTCCAGAATGTGAAAAACTTTTTAGGACAAATTAATCCAGTTTCTTAAGTAAATAACATGGAGGGGCAGGAATAAGAGTGTGGCTCAGTGTGAGAAGGCCTGGGGTCCAAATCAGACACCACAGAAGAAGAAAAAAGGAAGAACAAGAGAGCTATTATGAATTAAATGGACATTGTCATCTAAATATAATATGTTTAGAATATGGCCAGGTGGTAGTAGTGCAGGCCTTTAATCCCAGCACTTGGGAGGCAGAGGCAGGCGGATCTCTGTGAGTTCCAGGCCAGCCTGGTCTACAAGAGCTAGTTCCAGGACAGGCTCCAAAGCTACAGAGGAACCCTGTCTCCAAAAAGACAAAACAAAACAAAAAAAAATTTGGAAAACTTATCTCTTACCCTGAGTTTGACAACTTCTCAATACTTACATTTTCCTGGTGAGATACCTGGTGGCGTTAATAAATTATTTTCCTTTTTTTTTTAATTTTTTTTTGATTTATTTATTATGTGTACAGCCTTCCATGTGTACCCGCATGCCAGAAGGGGGCGCCAGGTCTCATTATAGATGGCTGTGAGCCACCATGTGGTTGCTGGGAATTGAACTCAGGACCTCTGGAAGAGCAGTCAGTGCTCTTAACCACTGAGCCATCTCTCCAGCCCAATAAATTATTTTCTGAGTGTTAAATAATGTCAATATTAAGATCTCTATAACTTTCCAATAAGCCAGTGTTTTGTAGATGACCAGTGTAGATGTCATAAAATCATACATGAGCAAAAGAGCCATTCAACATATAAGATACACTAGTAGGGTTTGTTGTTGTTGTTGTTTTTCGAGATGGAGGGTTTTGGGGTTTTTTTTGTTTGTTTGTTTCAGGGTTGTTGTGTTTTTTTTTGGTATTTAATACAAAAAGCACATAGGAAACTTGGCTGAGTTTTATTAAGAAAAACATTAAAGATTTGCAGAAATGGGGCTGGAGAGAAGGCTCAGCTTTAAGAGCACTGGCTGCTCTTCCAGAGCATCTGGATTAGATTCCGAGCACCCACCTGGTGACTGACAACCACCTGTAACTCTAATTCCAAAGGATCTGACATCCTCTTCTGGCCTCCATGGGCACCAGACATACAAGTGATGCATGAACATATGTGCATGAAAAATAAGGTTGAAAACAAGAGTTGCAAAAATGTGGTCAATGTATCATTAAAAGCACTTTTTAATGCTCTCAAAATATTATTTGTGTTCATTTGTAATGGTATATTGATAAATTTTTGCACTTTTAATTTCAAATGTGGCAAATGTACATAGAATACACTTGGAGTTGACAGTAGCTAAGAATGTGAAAAGGTTTGTCCACCAAAGGTTTTGGAGCGGGCTCTAATGTTCCAGACTAAAAACTCTGACCTAGGTGGGAGACAGACTCTACTCCAGACTTGCTGAGTGCTCTCAGGTAGTAACTTGACTTCTTGACAGCCTGTAATTTAGCTAGACAATGTATCTGCCAAACCTGAGTTAGGACTTTTTTTCCTTCTTAAGAAACAGTTTCATTGCTATGGCCCAAGCTGGCTTTGAATTCACTGATCCACCTTCCTCTGCTTCCAAGTGCCACCAAACCCAGTTTCGCTAGAGCTTTTTATCAGAAATAATTTGGTTAAATAGAATGTAAAAGAAACTTATGTTGAAAAATTGCGTGTAAATTTTAGAATTCAACCTGTTGAGCCACTTTGAATGATAATACGTTTGTCTGGTAGATATTGTCTGCTATACAAGCAAAAGTGGTTATTCCTGAGTTTTCCAAAAACTTGCGTTGGTTCTGTATTCTGTGAAACAGAACCTAGCCAGCTGATGGCAGTGACTCCTGGGATTGACAGGGCTTGTTCTGAGCTCTCTTCCCGCTTGGTGGCTGTAGGAAAACCCACGCTTGCAGCAGCATTCGTGTTCCTTGTTGCTGAGCTAGACTCTGGATAGTTCTGCAGTTTATTGTTCTTTTTTTTTTTTTTTTTTTTTTTGGTTTTTCGAGACAGGGTTTCTCTGTGGCTTTGGAGCCTGTCCTGGAACTAGCTCTGTAGACCAGGC